TCCCAGGCAGAACTCTGCCCACCTTTAGAGGTGCAGGCTTCCCTGTCCTGGGAACAGCAGGCGATGAGCACACATCATGCCAGGATCTTATGACTACCTTGATGGCTGACATGCCCTGCTCTCTCCAGGCATGTTGCCAGCACCAGCTAGCTTCCACCAGCTGGGGCTGTCACTCTTGGTCCCCAGAGGGCAACGTAGGGAGCCTCGTTCTCTGTAGCTCCCAGAGCTTCCGGCATGATGTTCTATGAATGGGGATGCTCTGACCATCTTGACAGACTCCAGACCCATCCAAGGACTCCAGAGGCTGCCCTACTCCCGAGGAGTATGGGGAGGAGCAAGAACAGACTACTCCCGAGGAGTATGGGGAGGAGCAAGAACAGAGACACATCCACCCCTATCAGGCTCCTCTGCTAGCCCCACAGAACGAGCCATGGGAGGCTGGAGGCTGAGAGGGGAAGAGAAGAATGTGGCCTCCCTGAGGCCCTTGGTGGACAGGCAAGGGTAGAGCCAGCAGAGGTTCCTGACAGCTTCTAGCTCTAAGTAACACTCAAAGAGGTCTGTTCCCACACAGTACAGGGGCTTTTACCAAACACTTCATGCACTGGTCACCCACCTTCCACCAGGAAGACACAGTGTCACACCAGGGGACAAAGGAGGCACCAGTATGAAAAGCACACGGTGGCCCTGCCAGACACCAACCTGCCAGGTCTGCTCTTGGACTGGCAACCGACAGAACCGTCAGAAGTTAGCTTCAAGCATTTTGTTATAGCAACATAAAGACACCAGCACAGCACAGTGGACAGAACACCATCTGCACTCACCAGCCTGCAGCCAGGGCGCTATGTGGATGCCACACCAGACGCGGGGACTCCCATGTGTAGTCACATCCAGGAGACAAGCAAGCGTTCCTACAGCCAGGGCCCCTGGCAGCAGCGTCCCTGACTTGTCCGAGAACCAGATGCCTGGGCCATCATGGAGGACACCCACCCTAGTGTGCCTGCTGTTGGTTCCAGCCCGCGGCTAGCAGCCGCCTCAGCACTCCAAAAGGTCTTCCTCCTCTCTGTCTACCTGCTTCTCTGCTAAGCACAGAGCTAAGTGGTCAGCCTCTGTGTGTCCTTGGTTTGGTGTTTCTTTGTTCCCTTTTCCCTTAAGGCCCCTACTCACAGAAATATTCGTGCCCAAGCCTGTCTCCCTGAGACAAGCATCAGCAGGTATCCCTCCTTGGAACAAGCCAAGTGTCCCAGGTCCCTGGAGACAAGATGCCCTCTTGGGTGTCTGGCAGGGCCACCGTGTGCTTTTCATGCTGGTGCCTCCTTTGTCCCCTGGTGTGACACTGTGTCTTCCTGGTGGAAGGTGGGTGACCAGTGCATGAAGTGTTTGGTAAAAGCCCCTGTACTGTGTGGGAACAGACCTAAGTGACATGCCTACATAGCTTTGCTCACCAGCTGCTCACGGGCCACCAGTGGCCGCATCCAAAGGTGAAGCGCACTGTGGGCTGGACCAGGGTTTCCCAAGAGAAATCTGCTTGGATGTGAACTCACGCTGAGGCCCAAGCTTCCTACGTGCATCAAACCTCAGAGTCTCCCTAACAATACCAGGAAAAGGCCGGTAGTCCTCAGCCTGGTCTTGGCTGTAGACTCGGAAGGGCACAGGCCTCCGCTCCAACTCTTCCTGGCTTGGTAAACCAGGGTTCAGCGGCAGCAACCCCACCTGTAGCCAGGCCCTTTGCCAGCAGCTCAGTAATGGTGAGACCTGGACCAGGACATGTCACATGTTCCCACAGGAATTGCCTGATGCCCACGGGTCGCTCTCTTCTACCTCTGGCCCCTGACACTCCAGCCTTCCCAGCTAGAGTACCTCCTCAGCATCTTGCCACCTGGGCCTCACCTTCCTGGGTAGCGTGGGACACTCCAAGGGCAGGGACAAGGTTCTCTCCTACCCGACTCCCTGGGGCAGACTGAGCACCACTGAAGAAAGAAACACATGTAGCTTTCCCTGAGAGGCTCCTGGTGAGTACAAGCCAAAAGAAGAGCAGCAGGCATCTGCTTCAGGATGGTAACCTGCAGCCTAGTTCCAAGAAGCACAAGTAGACGTGTAACTCAGGGCGTCGCAGAGCTAGGCTCACCTGCTTCTCCCTTCCATGTGGGCAAGCCTCTGATTCCCACAGTGGGAACCATCACTGGCTTTGGGTTGCTCAAGCTTTCCGACTGACCCAGGTGCTGCTGGAGGGCTTCTCTCCAGGTTCCACCAAGCCCCGCAGTCCCACAATCCACGTATAAAATAATCACTCAGACACTTATATTACTTATAAACTGTATGGCCATGGCAGGCTTCTTGCTAACTGTTCTTGTATCTTAAATCAACCCATTTTTATAAATCTATACCTGCCACGTGGCTGGTGGCTTACCGGCGTCTTTACATGCTGCTTATCCTGGCGGTGGCTGCAGTGTCTCCCCCTCCTTCTTCCTGTTCACTCAATTCTCCTCTCTCCTTGTCCCGCCTATACTTCCCGCCTGGTCACAGGCCAGTGTTTTATTTATATAGAGCGATATCCACAGCACCCAGTCACGTGTTCTCTCCCTGCAGCAGCTCACACTATCATAGCCTCACGACTGTACCTTGCCACATGAACCCACAGAGGCTAGGCCCTGGCTGGGGAGAGAGCTCAGCGAGTCTGAGAAATCTGCCCCCCCAGGGCCAGCTACTGGGAAATGACACCTCAAACTCAAGCCCCCAGACCAGTCTCTCCCTGAAGACATACCCTTCCTCGAAAAAATGGCTCATTCTAGGTTCCTAGGGCAGAGAGCTCAGACCTGGACACCCAACAGGCAACACCTTCCTCCATCTCAGGAAAAAGGTCACTTCTGACCACACACAACCTTTGCTTGGATACAAGTTTGCATTCACAATGACATGCATAACAACAACAAAACAAAAAAATCACTCACACAGTTAATTACGGTGCAACTGATAATTGCAGGAACAATTAGCCATGTGTTCATTTTGAGGGTGCTGAGCAGCTAATGACATTTACAGCTAGGCAACTGCTCTAGCTGGGAAGAACAAGGGGGGCACACTCCTGCAACCAGCCTCCAGAGGTGCAGCCACAGGATGGAGATTGAGCTGGGGATCCCAGCTCCAAGGCAGAGGACATGTTGGCCTAGAGGCAGGGTCTGGCAAAATGATCTATAAAGTCCAGCTTAGGCCTTTTTCTGGAAGCCCAAAGGCTCTTAGATCTCTTCCTCAGACAGAAGTCTCTGTCCTCTTCTGCTATGGATGTGGGAGACTCAGAGCCACCACTCCACAGAACTGCCCTGGACACAGGCCACCTAACTGGTATTGACCTCAGAGGCAGCCATGGACAGACTCAGCTGCAGCATATGTGGCCTGGTCCAGCCACCTCAGAAACTGCACACTCACTGACGTGCACATGTACACACACATATACACACATTCTGCCCTCCTCAGCCTATCACAGGCCGTCAGGCACTATTTGAGATATTCTCATGGCTGAGAGGAGCAGAGGGAGGCACCAGGACCTCCATCTGAACAGCCCTTCCTTGCAGGGCCCAGCTATGCCCAAGACATCTATGTGGGCTTGAGTCACACAGAATCCTCTATGGGAAGACCTTCTGGAGTCCCCGTTGAACAAAATTTCCACTCTATATATTGAGCATTACAAATTGAGATTTTTAAAGATCACTCTTTGAGGAGCTGGAGAGATGGGTCAAAGGTTAACGGTGTTGGGGGCTGGGGAGATGGCTCAGCAGTTAAAGGCACATGTTGCTCTTGCAAAGGACCAGGGTTCAAGCCCCAGTGCCCACATGGTGGCTCACAAACATCTGTAACTCTAGGTCCAAGGGATCTGACACCCCCTTCTGGTCTCCACAAGTACTGCACACATGTGGTGCACAGACATACATGCAGAAAAAACACCCATGCACATATTTTTGGGGAGGGTGGTTTCAAGATAAGGTTTCTCTGTGTAGCCCTGGCTGTCTTGGAACATACTCCATAGGTCAGGCTGGTCTCAAACTCAGAGATCCATCTGCCTCTGCCTCCTGAGTTCTGGAATTAAAGGTGTATAAAACCATCACCTGGCTAAATTTTTTTAAAATATATTTTTAAAAAGAGATCAGTCCTTCAAACCTCATGATCCTTTTGTCTCGGTCCTCACATACTTCTGGAAAAAAAATCACAGAAATAGCTTTGAAGAAATGGCCTGTGGTAATTTGAATGTAACTAGCCCCCATAAGCTCATGGGGAATGGCACTATTAGGAGGTGTGGCTTTGCTGGAGTGGGTGTGGCCTTGTTGGAGAAAGCAAGTCACTATGGAGGGGAGGGCTTTGAGGTCTCATATGTGCTCAAGCCACACCCAGTGTCTCAGTCCACTTCCTGTTGCCTGCGCAAGATGTAGAACTCTCAGCTACCTCTCCTGCACCATGTCTGCCTGCACGCCACCATGTCCCACCATGACAATAATAGACTGAACCTCAGAACTGTAAGCCACCCAACTAAATGTTTTCCTTTATAAGACTTGCTGTGGTTGTGGTGTCTCTTCACGGCAATAGAAACCCTAACTAAGACATGGCCCCTTAAACCTGGCCGCTTTGGAGGTGTCTGGGGCCCAACTGCGAGAGTGTGGCACTTACAGCATCTGGCCCTCACCCACCCCTCAGCATATGGTCACAGCCCCACTGCTGCAGCTGCACCTGGTCTTGCAGCCTTCTCCCTGCCCTAAGGAAAGCAGAGGTGGAGACTCAGATCTTCCATCCCATCATGGCGCAAGTACATTAGCAGACTGGGTAGGGCTGAGGCAGTGTGGACACTCCTGGATGGCCAAGGCCACTCCACACCCGCCTCCTGGTAACCACCCTGGAGCCCCACAGACAGCTGTGAAATACTATAAACACAGGGGGCATGCCCCCACACGGGCTGGGGTGTCCCTGCTGGTCACATGCCCATCCCTCGCTATGCCTTGGCTGTTAGAGTCAAGAACCCACTTGCAGTGCAGGGCAGAGCACTAACTCAGTGGGAGACAACCCAGAGGAGGATGCTGACATCACCTTGCATGTACCTAAATGTCAGAGAAGAGGTCTTGACAGACCTGGGGAACAACTTGGGGTAATGTAAGGGGACGGAAATGGACATGTAACCCCAGGAGCTGGAAACTACCCTGGCTTGTGCTCTTGCTGCTTTTTAATTTTCTGGAACTGTTGCCATGGAAACTGAGAGGCCAGGTATGCAGAGCAGCTGAGGATAAGGTGATATGAGCACTGGCCAACACGGGCCTGAAAGTCTATCTGTGATCCTTCTTCCACTGTCCCAGTCCCTGTGACCATGACCAGCAACACGAAGGTCTCCTTGATGACCCAAGGCCAGGAGGAAGGGGCTGCCACATTGTCTGAGCCACAGATATGGAAACACTTGCCAAGGATGAGCACCAGCACCACCCCTTCTGTGTGCTGTGGGGTTGCTGTGACCAGGCATCATAACTGAGGCCAGCATCTGACCCCAGGCCCTCCAGGGCCCTGCTCACTCCATACTGGCATACTGCTCCACCTCTGCTTCTGTCTTGTGAGTTACCTTTACAGTCTCCGCTCCTTCAGCTTCCTTCTCTCATTAGAACTCTTGTCCGTGGCCAGTCCAGAACGCCCTTATTGAATTCCCCTCAGGCTCCTGCCCTGAGGAGACTGTTCCCAGAGTCCTGGGGAAGATGCAGGGACAATCCGAGGGAACGAATCTAAGTCCACCGAGCTCTTCAGTCCATTCACTTTATTCCTCTGAGACAAAATTCTATCCACACAGCTTCAATTCTGTCCTCATACTTAGCTCCTCTCTGTCCCTTCTCCTCCTGTCCTCTCATAGTTCTAAGTTCTTTCCATCTCATCCTCATCTTGGTCTTCATTCCTCTCCATCTTCGTTCCTCCTTTTGTCTTCCCGTGACCTGTCTCAACACATACAAATATAGCAATACTCTCTGGTATAGACGAATTTCTAAATGGTCTTATTAAATAAGAAACACAGAGCCAAATACAGAGGTAATAGCCAAAGAGATCAGAGCAATAGCCACGACTAGCTTTAGCTTACCACCAGCAGTAGCTTCCCCAGAGAGAGAGCTTCTTCCCGTCTAACCCGTATTTTTATTGCCTTCCTGTTCTGCCTTCTCACTGGCTCTAAGCCCAGCCACATGACTTCCTCATCACTGCCTGTCTATACAGACCTCCAGGTCTCTATGGTTGGTACTGGGATTAAAGGCTCCTGTCACCACGTTTGGCTGTGTCCTTGACCACACAGAGACTCTGCTTGCCATGTGATCAGATGAAAGGCGTGTGCCACCACCCCTGACTTATGTTTTATGGCCATTTGACCTCTGATCTCCAGGCAACTTTATTTATTAACATATAAATAAATATCACATTTCAGCACAAATAAAATATCAGCACACTCTGGCCCTGCCGCTTTCTGGTCGGGTGGGGTAAGTCTGTTCAGTGGCTAGGAAACCTGCCTCATAGGTTGAATGCACCTGGTATCGAAAAGTCCTTTTGCCCTGAGTTAATTGTTGGAGGGGAAATCTGGGGTTGCCACTAAGGCTGCGTAAGAAAGGGGGGTCTGAGCTCAATTTGCACAAGAAACAATGCCATGTACCTAACACCAGCCTGGCCTAGGCAGTGTCTCCCTATGGAACTTACCTTAATTCAGGAAACTAGCAGGTGGTGGTCTGGAATGCTATTTCTGTCTGTCGCTGGTCCTTGGGTGCTTTTGTCCAGAGCTGGCCCTGGCTTTGTGTGCTTGCTAAAGGAGATAAATGCAGAAGGCAGACATCTGAATTCTAATGCTAAAAAGAAGAAGCAGAAAGCCTGGAAGCAGGAAGCCTTGCCTGCATGACTGTATCCAAACACCTTAGTTGTATGTGCTCAAGGAATGATCAGTCCACAGTTAGAAGTTCTTAGGAAAGAATCAGTTGGGAAAGCTGCCGTACATAGCTCACAAGAAGATCATTGTAGGAACTGGCTAATGTATATATATAAAAACTAACATCACCACAAGAAGATCATTGCAAGAACCGGCTAATGTGTATATATATAAAAGCTAACATCACCATAAGAAGATCATTGCAGGAACCAGCTAATGTGTATATATATAAAAGCTAACATCACCAAGACTCCTTGAGGCTTGGCTTTTTCCTCTGGAAGAGCCCTGCTTCTTCCAGGTATTAGCTTTTGTTATACTCAGCTGAATTCCTGTTTCATATTCCTGTGGCCTGCAACATGCTCTCACTGAGCTCCTTCACCTGATTCCATCTGCAAAGTTCTTGTCTCTGAACAAGATCCAATTCACAGGCTTGGGGATCAAGACTTGACATCTTTAGGGACCATTTTTCAGCCAGCTGAAATCATCAACATTTAAAGAGTAATTAATTAATTAAAAAACATGGCCATCGAGATGACTAAGCAGGTAAAAATCTTGCTGTTCAAGCCTGAGTTTGGTCCCTAGAAGCCACTTAGAAGGAGAGAATGGATTCCACAGAAGTGTCCTCTTACCTCCACATGGGTGTCATGATACACACACACACACACACACACACACACACACACACACACACACACACACACACACACACGGAGTAATAACTAAAATATTAAAACAAGGTATTTTAAAATCCCAGGGCTGGGGAGATGGCTGAGTTGGTAAAGTACCGGGTTTACAAAGTGTTTGCTGCTGCCTGGCCGTGGTGGCGCACACCTTTAATCCCAGCACCCGGGAGGCAGAGGCAGGTGGATCTCTGTGAGTTCCAGGCCAGCCTGGTCTACAGAGTGAGTTCCAGGACAGGCTCCAACACTACACAGAAACCCTGTCTGGGAAAGAAAACCAAGTGTACACCACCGTGCTCTTCACACAGGCGCTGAGGGTCGAAGCCAGGTCCTTGTGTCAAACAAGCACTTCCTCTACCAACTAAGTCATCTCCTGAGCCTTCAGGATTTTTTAAATTAATTTGTTGATATGATTTACACAAATCATGAAATAGACAAAATGATCAAAAACATGAGGACTCAGGACTCCCATGTCGACATTAAACCGAAATAAGAGGCATCCGGGCCTCCTGCCTCTCCGCTCTGCTGCCCGCGCTCAGGACTCGGACTCTGCTGTCCTGGGAAGGACTTGACTGGCTCTGGGCCAGCTGCCCAGTGGCGTGAAGTGCTTGGGTCACTTGGTTGGAAGTGGTAGGAAGTAAATCCTTTTCCCCATTCTCTCTCTGGTCTGGCAGGCAGGATCCCAGCCTCCTGCTTCTCCTAAGATGACCCAGACACAAAAAAGATAGCCTCAGCCCCGTCCCACAGTATGTCTAGGTCTGAGACTTCATGCTCACAGATAGAGGTCACCAAGCTGCATCCAAGTCAAGGCTAAGGACTGGATCCCTGCCTTGGTAGGGAGCCTCAGAGTCCTAAGGCATCAATTGGGTAGGCAGCGATACCAAGGACCCTGGTCTGCCCTTCTGGAGCCACAGGCTCACTCTTGGCTTCTCAAATGCAAACCTATGGCCAACCGGTCCAGTGTCAACTCCCATGCACCAGGCTTCCCTAGCTGTCAATGTCCCATGGGGTGGGACCTATCCATCATCTGCAGCCCTCTCCTTGCCATAGGTAGCCCTGAGCTCTGGCCCTCTATCTGAGTTCATGGTTAATGAGGCATGCAGGGTCATGACACACACAGAACCAGTAGGCTATAACCTCAATAAACCAGTGACTCACTTGGGCAGGTTAGCCCAGTCATACCAAAATAAAACTGTCAGATGGAGAGGCTTGTATCACACACATCCCAAGACCTCATAGCCATACTGGCTTCATTTACCACTTCAGCCTTCCAGGTCCATAGAAGCCATAGCCTTCAACTGACTGCAGGTGCTAGCCTTAGCCCCTAGCATATTGTGAGCCTGGGAAGGTTCAGGGCCTGGGGCTCCTGAAGGGCCTTGTGAGTCAGCTAACCTGGGATGATTAGAGGCTCTGTCCAGGTAACAGGACAAGAGGTCTCTCAAGGTGTCCCCAGCATATACACCTGGCTGTTCTACAAACAGGTCAACTTAGTACACATTCTCTTGTCCAGAGAGCCACTTGTAACTGCAACTCACTGAAGCACCTACCTCTGAGACCCTCTCCACAGCCAAGTGCCTGTCTCTGTGTCCCCATTTCCTACCACAGGCAGCATAGATATGTGTGGTGATCAAGACAGGTTCAGGACTCAAGGCTAACCTCACCGCACGGGGAGGGGCACAGCCCCTCACAGGGGGCAGCTCATGACAATGACTTCTCATCAAACTGTGTCCCCGAAGCTGCTGTGGCTTGCCCTGATCCAGCAGTCACTGTGGTGCCTTCTTCTCAAGACTGGCTCCTTCTTCTTCTTTTTTTTTTTTTTTATATATTATTGTTTTTATTTTACTTTATGTGTATGGGAGCTTGCCTGCCTGCATGTCAGTGTACCACATGCTTGCCTGGTGCCCAGGGAGGCCAGAAGAAGCCCCTGGAACTGGAGTTACAGATGGTTGGGAGCTGGCTGGTGACTGCTGGGAATTGAACCCAGGTCTTCTGGAAGAGCAACCAGTGCTCTTAACTGCTGAGCCATCTCTCCAGCCCCAAGATTGGCTCATCTTTGCTTTGCATTTTTCCAGTCAGCTGTATTTGAGATAGACTATGCCTATAAAAAAATTCACCGATTTTATTTTATTTACTAGATTTTTTTTAAAGATTCTTTTATTTTATATGGATGAATGTTTGTCTGTATGTAAGTATATGTACTATGTGGTGCCTGGTGCCCATGGAGGTCAGTAGCAGGGCATCAGATTCCCTGGAACTAGAGTTATGGTGTTTTAAGCTACGATGGCTGGGAACCAAGCCAGAGTCTGTGGCAAGAGCAACAAATGTTTTTAACCACTGAGCCATCTCTACAACCCCCTGGATTTTTTTCTAAGACAGGCTCTCTCTGTAGCCCTGGTTGGCCTATTGCTATATATTCCAGGCTGGCCTCCAACTAACAGAAATCGTCCCGCCTTGGTCTCCTGTGTATTGGGATTACAGATGTGAGTCACCACATCGGAGGGACCCATTGGCAGGCAGCCTCAGCTGGGACAGACCTTTCTCCAGGCTTCTCAGGACACCTCCATGCTGTCCCACAATGGTGGCACCCTTCATGCCCGCACAGAGAGCTGCCTCCCAGCGTTTAACCATCCTGTGCAGCAGCAACCTTCCGAAGCACATCACTTTGCTGCAGTCCTGAGTGGTCAACGGCCAAGCATCTTTTCATGGGCTTGTTGCCATCATGCACGTCTCTGGCAGCTTGCCTGTTCAGATCTTGTCTTTGGTGTCCTTCTTTATGCTCTGCTATTTAGTGGTCTGCTGGTGCGTCCCTCCAGTCCTTTGTGCCCTGCTGGAGGACACTCAGCACTCTCCAATATCTGAGATGACGGCAAATTCGATGTGGTGCCCCTCTGAGAAGTCTTCCAATTTTGCACCCTGAAAGCCTTTCACTCTCTTTTTTAAAAGACATTTTATTGGGTAAAAACCTGAATTTTTTCTTTGCATACTTCAAGTATGACATCATGTCCTCATTTACATTACTCCAACAAAAATGTCCTTGGTTTGGTTTTGTTAAGACAGGGTTTCTCTGTGTAGCCCTGGCTGTCCTGGAACTCTCTTTGTAGACCAGGCTGGCCTCAAACTTAAGAGATCCTCCTGCCTCTGCCTCCTAAGTACTGGGATTAAAAGTGTGTGCCACCACAAGCCCAGCTAAATATTTCCTTTTTATACTGAATTTTATGTGCCTGATATTGCTTTTTCCTTCATATTTCATATGCTCAAATTTTATTGAGTTTAGGTTTCATCAAATTTGAAAAACAAAACAAAACCTCTTGGAGCTGGAAAGATGGCTCAATAGTTAAGAGTCTCATTCCCAGCCCTCAGGTCAGGACTGCCAGCGTTAGGGAAATCAAAAACCTCTGGTCTCCTCAGGCAGCTGCACTCATGTGCCGTCCCCACACACACACCCCACACACACCCACATACCCCCCACACACACACCCACAGACACTTAGTTTCTAAAAAGGTATCCTCCACTGTAATCCACACTTCTGTTCCCCCTCTTCTGGGAACTTCCAACCTCCACCTGGAGTTGTCCCCACATAGCCTGCTTTAGTCCAGCAGGGTGCTGTGTGTCATGTGATTTTTGTGGCTTTGTCTGCTCCCACCTGTCTTCCACAGCATCACATGTGAGGTGGCTCCTTCCACACACCTTGGTTCTCAGCTGGGGAGGTTCTGTAGAAACATTTGCCTGTCTCTACCTGTACCCAGCCTTCTCTCCACTTCTCTGACACTGAACAGTCTCCGTGACTAGATTTCTTCATGGACCACTATACCTGTCCCATTTCTAGGTCTGTTTCAACTACCTGATTTTTTTCTCCTCACTGCTGCTGTTTCTGCTTCCTTGAGTACCTGGGAATTTGGGCTGGTAACCAGACATTGTGACTTCTACCTTCCTTAGGTATTGGATATCTCTGTGTCCCTGTACATGTCCTTTGGTGTTACTAAAGGACACTTCAGTTACCTGAACATCTTGATCCCTTTGGGAGCCTCTGAGCTTTATCAAGTACAAAAGGTTCCAATGACTTCTGAGCTCTGGGCTCTGTACCCCAGTGGGGGTGGGGATGGAAGTAATGGTTAATCTTGTCAACTTTACAGGATGATCTAGGCAAACCTAGAAAACGAGCCTTTGGGCATGTCTATGGACGGGGTTTCTAGATCAGGTTAAGGTAGGCTCCTCTCTCTCTCTCTCTCTCTGTGTGTGTGTGTGTGTGTGTTTATGTATGTATTATGTATGTGTGTGTATGTATGTGTATGTGTGTGTGTGTGTGTCATTAGTTCTCTCATTCCACCACGTGGCTCTCAGGGACGGAACTCAGGTCAGCAGGTGTTGTGGCAAACACGTTTACCCAGAGTCACCTTGTCTTCCCCAAGCTGCAGGATCTTACTCTTTTGTCAGGTACACATTTCTTCCAAATCTGTGGTTTGCCTTCTTATTTTCACGAGGATATCCTTTAAAAACACATTCTAAAAAGGAATTATGTACCACTTTATTTTTAACCTGTCTCAGTGATACAGCAATCTTAAGACATGAAGTAACATCTCACTTTTCAGAAATAATGGGCACCACTGTCTCCTGTTTTCACTGTTTGAATAGTTGATTACAGATCAGTAGGCGCCACAGACAGGCCAGACTAAGAAAGTCTGCGTACTCTTCCCTTCAAGAAAGCAGCATGCAGCTAATTAGCAAATGTCCTGTAAGCCACATAACCTGCAGTGGGCAGAGGTCTAGTGACCATCATCTCAAGGTCTGCTGCTGACCGGTCCCCATCCCTATCACTGAACACAGCCACCCCAGCACCACAAGTCTTCCCGGAAGCGGCAGGAGAGCGGGTCTTCTCGGCTGTTCTAAACCCTCGTCTCCACATGAATTTCTGAATAAGGTCTTCTCGGCTGTTCTAAACCCTCGTCTCCACATGAATTTCTGAATCCAGACTGCAGTGCTGTAAAAACCCAACCTTCCCAATGCTGGGACCCTTTAATATGGTCCCGACTCTAAAATCACTTTGTTGCTACTTCATGAACTGTTATTTTGTTAGCTATGACTCGTAATGTAAATATCCCATATGCAGTCCCCTGTAGGGGATCGCGACTCTCATATTAAGAACTGCTGACCTAGGGGTTTGGATAGATCTCAAATCTGGCCTGAAGATCTTGTGATAGTGTTATCAACCTGACAACTCGATAATTACCTGGGAGACAGGCCCTGGGCATGCCTGTGGGTGACAACCTTGATTTCATTGGGACCCTACAGTGGGTGGCATCCATTCCATGGATCCCATAGGTGGATCCAGTCCATCCTGGACTGTTAAGTGGAGAAGCAGCATGCATCCACTCTCTGCTTCCTCATTGTGGAAGCTCGTGACCATCTCGACTTCACACTGTGCCACCTTGGGCTCCTGCCGTGATGGGCTGTACCTTTGATGCCAGGATAAACCCTTTCTCCCTCATTATGTCTATCAGAGGCCCTGTCAGAGCGACAGGAAACTAATTCAATCTTACATGGCCTTCATTAAATGCATTCTAGACACACTCTGATCGGGTGCCACTGTTAACAGCATGCTCCCAAGTTTTCAAACCATTTGTCCATTTTCCCCTGGTGAGCAGAATTACAGCTTGGCTGCAGGCCTTGAATGTGACACTGAATTCACAAACTGCCCCAGTCACACATCCATCCACAAGGTGCTTGCGTTTTCCCTGACCCAACCATGTCACCTTCAACTCTTACTTTGGACCTTCTCCCTCTCCAAATTTGGTCTACATTTTCTTGTCTCATGCCCCTAGAGTGGGAGTAGAGAACAGAAGTTCCTGTGTCCCTAACTTAACAAGAGGCACATATCACATTGCTTTCTAACCCTTGACGAGCAAATAAAGGGACTGGGGATGACTCCTCTCATGCTACTAGGGTAAGAATCAAGTGTGCTCATGAACCCAACTGTGGAATAGCCTGGTGGCAATACCACCACTGCAGGATCATCTCGCCTGGGCACAGACCTAAGTATTCAGTGTGGCTGCCCTGGAGGCTGGACACAGGAGGAAAAGCAAGAAAGTAAAAACAAAGTCAACTCCACTCACAGGAAGTCAGCATCCTGTACGTAGTCGATTGCTGGCCAGGAAGCCAAGAAACAAGAGCAGTGAGGCCACAGGAACCTTACCACACAAATTCCCTGCCCTCCACAGTATCTTGCCTATGCCCTCAAACTTCAGGTCCATTTTTCACACTGTTCAACATTGTAGGCTCTGTGTGTGTTGACCTGTGTCCCCTCCCAAAGGTTATGGGAGCCTCCAACCCCAGGGCCTCAGATGTGCCTGTATTTGGCAATCAAGCTAACTACACTGGTGTGCTGACAGAAAGCACAACAGACTCATGCCAGGAGCTGCTCAAAAGGGAAGGCAGAGAGAGGTGCTGCTGCTGCATGCCCAGGGCTACCACAGAAAACGTGGAAGCCAAACCCTTACCACCTGGACCTCAGGCCTCCAGATCCAACCAGGACCTGAGAATATTTGTCCACGGCCCCTGGTCTGTGGCCTTCATCACCACAGCTGTAGGAGATCAGGGCATCAGTGATGTCAATGAAGGTGGAGTGTTCAGGTAAACCTACCTACCTGCCCAGGGGTGGGGTGGGGGAATGTGACTTAATACCAGGAGGCTCAACCTGGGGACCAGCTCCAGTTACACTAACTCAGGTGGCTAAGAGGCATGGTTCACTGTGACCACCCCAAACAAACAAGAGTGACAGACACTCCATCCCTCTTCACTGTTTATACCAGGGGAGGCCATCTGGCCACCTGCCGCCAGGCTTACTAGGGTATCCATCTATCATACACCCCGACCCCCACCCCAGATGGTCTACAGGATAAGGCCTGGAATGTAAAAAGCACAGCTCTTCTGGTATCCTCTGGTCGACAGGACAGAGGACTGGCCCTACCTCCAGAAGGGGCTGTCCTCACAGTTAAGCCCTGGTTCAGTAGGACCAGAGAGGAGTCTTGGTAGCATTATCAGAGACTCAGAAACTGGAAAAACAGGCACAACAAATACAGATAAATTTGTTTTTAATAAAGGAGTTAATTTTCTTTCAATCCTATATAAAACAATAGCAATTAAAAACTTCATTTTTGAAAGTAAAATATTTACATATGAACAAGTAACTGTGCAAAATTTACATGAAAAAATGGAAAGACAGGGATTTCCTAAAAGATAAAATGAAAGGTGTAACAGTTCTCAGGTGTTGGTAAAAAATACTGATCAGCGTTCAGTTCACACGTGCGAATTAAAGTCTAACATGAGAATCCACACGGAGAAAGCCAAAGTATTTACAGTCATAAAAGTACTATCAATAGACAATTTAATACAATAACCTCTGAAAATATAAAGAACCAATTAGTATATTTGTAATAAAAAAATAGGTACAAAGAAGGGGCTTTGCTCTGGACGCCTGTAAGGTTGGCCACAGCTTGCATACAGTCTCTTAGCAAAATAATTATAGTTTACATAGCCATTTTATGTTATGTGCCAAAAATTATGTACAATTACTGACAAAATACACCAACCATTTCCAACCCTTGATCCACACTGAGAAACAGTCTGTTGTTGATTTTTCTCAACTCTGATTTATTTCATCTAAGTTTTCACTCTGAGCTAAAAACACAGTGCAAGTAAAATGTATTTATGCTGAAGAGGTTCTCATTTCCTTCCACTTTACAGCTTCCAAACTGCAGCAAATAAAATGTATCTGTACAGGTGCTGCGCCCCGGCCTCCACTAGCAGAAATACCACCCTGCTTGGAGGTTGTGTTCCTGGGGAATTTCATGTAGAAGGGAGGTAAGGGACAGGGTGGGCGTGGGGTGATAAATAGTCTAAAAATCAGTTTGCTTCGCCAACTGACTGCTACAACAACAGTAAAGTCAGTGAAATGAGGTCATCGGCTGTAGACGTACACCTAGTGGGTGAGTCAGAGTGAACTGAACCAAAACGCACACAGGATGAGCAACTGCTAATTATTTGCTAAGCGCTTCCTTCCATCAGTCTTTAAATATGGCTTGTTTGGCAAGAAGGCCACTCAGTCGAGGATGAGCTCGGGTCAGCTGTCCTGTAAGAGCATCCACAGGCCTTTGTATTCTCTCTGCTGCAGACATGGTTTCTGCCGCACTGAAGAGCTGATTTAGAAACAGGAGTATAAAACTGCTCCATTGTAAAGAGGTGGCTGTTTTTAAACAATATCCCGTTTGCTTGTTACAAAAAGGCGTAATCTGCAAATATATAAAAAAGTCCGCAGGCATCCCATCAGAAACACCGGCTCATCCTGTTACTTAAGGAATGCTTTGTAGAGCAACAGTGAATGGCTTGTCTCACGCTCATTTTCTAAACAAAATATGAGGTCCCTGAGGTTGACCCGCGTGATTCTTTGCCGTGTGAACTGTCTGGGGGTTCCCACGCCGGAGCCGCCTGGGACCGCTGCGCCTGGGCCTGAGCCCTGGTGATTAGAAAGAAGAAGACAGGTGCATTAGTGGCTGGCGAACATCTAGGGGGAGGGGGACAAAATTCAAGTATCCCCTAAGTACCCCAAGGACCCTGGTTCTGAAGGAAACAGGCATGGCAGAGCCCTTCCCATGGTCCTAGGGCTAGAGCTGAGCTGCTGTTTCAGTCCCTAGCTAGGGCAGAGGCCCCCATTCCCACTCTATAGCATACTCAGGGTACCGCCCTCCAGCGCCCCCAGAGCACTGGCCCTGGATGGGAGGGAAGACAAAAGCAGTAGCTCCCCCATCCAGAGGCTCTGAGGCCCAAGAGGCTCAGGTGAGGAACCAAAGCTCACACCTGATGCCACACCCGGGACCGTGCCATCCCTGCTTGGCTGACAGAGGCACCAGGCCTGAATTCTTGGGCTGGGCAGGCTGCTGGTCAGCTGGAGAGGCCGACTGCTCAGTGGTCATGTCGGTGATCCATGGCCAAGGGAAGGGGGTCCCTGCTCCCCTGGCTGGGCCCTGTTGCAGACACTCAGTCCCTGGGCCACCAGCTATCCAGCAAGCCGACCCCAGTTCCTTCCTGCTCAGAAATATGAGTGTACTATGGCTGGCTTTTGGCCACTAAGCAGTGGCATCCAGCAGTTTATCACATCCGTTTATCACTGCCTCCATCTGACCCCTGCCGGGCTCAAACCACAAGATCCCAATGGGCAGCTCTCCTCTTCTGTTCAGCAGAGAACCAGGTTTGTGTCCTGCTGGTTAAACTGCTCATGCATATTCAAGTATACATGCTGCAGTGGCGTCTTTACTGTGCTTCCATGGTCGAAGCTTAAGAAACTGAAGTATCACATTCTACCCATGTGGCCACAGAGGCCCGGATGCCAGTAGGTGGCAGTCACAGGAAGCTGGCAGGCAGGCTAGGTGAAAGTGTGCCCGCATGATCTGGCCACAGTTTCTTCATGCATATGACAGTCCAACTGAAGATAGTGTACTTTTCCTCAGAAGCCAGGAAGCCACCACTGTCCATCTTTGGCCCCAGCCTCCACCATCATCTTGGTATCCACATCCTTTTGGGTGACAATCTCCTTGGATTTTGTTGCCAGTGACAGGCCCCGAGTAGTGTTTCATCATGAGATCAGTGGGGCCTCTTAAAGAGCCACAGCAAAAACGAGCAGTTAGTAGGAATGAAGAAAACCATCCATCTCCCCACAGCTACCTCGGGCTGCAATTTGAGCCACATGAGCTTCCTTCAAAGGGGGGTCTTGGTGATCTGGACAGGAGCTACATGCCAGTTCTGGGAAGAAGGCCCACGAAGAAGAAGGGTCTACAGCAGGAGCAGTGAAAGGAGGCCACAGAGATCGGCCGAGTCCACAGGTCCTGCAGCCCGGGAGTACGGTGAAATCCAAAATGCCTCCCCATTTCCGGATGTGAGGTCCATTCTTGTTGCATTTGCTATACCTGATCCAAATCACCTTGACTACAGACCCAAGAGAGAAACTCAGGCACTGATGGTGTTGTACCCAGGCCCACAGAGACCCTGCCTGGGCAGCAGGATGTATCAGTGGCCAGTGTCCATGCTCTCCTTCACGCCTCTACTTTCAGGTTCAAAAGCCAACACCAGGGCTGGGATGAGGGAGCACTCATCTCAGGTACAATACTTAAGAAGTGCTAAAAGTTAGAAACGGAGACAAACAGGATCAAATCGGTGCCCCAGGCTTGCTGACGACCAAGTGTTGACACTGATGAGGCTCAGACAGCTTCATGTCATCACATCCAACATGGGCCTCCAGCCTGGTGGTATAGCTGTCACTGCTGGACCCAACCAACCTGAGGGGTCAGCAGTCAGGTGACTATACAACACAAATTCTCATTTGTGTTCTAGGAGCCTTATAAGCAACAGGTGGGACTTGGGATATAAAACCACAAGTGTAAGCTAGGGCACAGCATACTGAATGCTACACCCATTTCAGAGCAAGTACAGGGTTGGTCACAGCAAAGAAGAGCCAAACCTTCGGCCTCAGGACTGTGACCAGCTGACCTGAGTGAGAAGACTGTGTGGGCTATGGGAGTGAGCCTGTGGAGTCTCAGAGGGCCCTGGGGAAGCTTAGTTGGGTGTCCAGGGTGGGTCATGGATGGAATGAATGTATTCCTGGCCACTGGGATTGAAGCTTCTGCTCAGAGCCCTATATAGGGACTCAGAGGAACAAGGCATGTTCCAGCACCACATAAAAACTGAAACCTGAACATGGTTAACTACAATTCAGAGAACTCTTTGAGTTTCAAGGATGGGAATGGAGAGAGACAGACAGACAGACAGAGACAGACAGACACACACAGAGACAGACACAGACACACACACACACACACACACACACACACACGTTGGGCCTCCTGGCCTGTACTGCTGTGACTGCTCACCTAGCCCCACCCAAGGCTACTGAAACGACTAAATAAGAGAGTGTCGTCTAACTTTGGCTAACTCGTTCTGTTAAGGCCAGCCTGCTATACACAGCACCTGTGCAGCAAAAAGTAGTTCTGTGTCCCAAGGGAAGTGCTGGGCTCCCCAAGGTTGCAGGGCTACAATGCTACAATCTGATTTTTTTCTTCACCAGAGTCCCACTCCAGCAACATACTGAGTTCTATACCCCAGAACAGTATGAGGGTTCCTGGGAAGACCCTAAGACCACTGTCTCCTGGCCAGCTAGACAATGGCAAGCAATTAGGTCAGAGTAGCATTTAGAAGAGCAGCCTACACCGTTCTACCTATCATTGGCCCAGTTCTGCTCTATCTTACAGATAGTGTCTCTGCCCTCACTTGTGTGAACTGTCCCACATGAGCCCTGCTTACCTGCAAAACATCTAAAAAACAGTAATAAACACCTGTGGTGATATTTTGAATAAATATCTTCTGAATATCAGAAGACAGAACAAGCCACTGGATTAAACATAGAAGTCGGGCAGTGGTGGCACACACCTTTAATCCCAGCACTCGGGAGGCAGAGATCCGTTTGGATCTCTGTGAGTTCAAGGCCACCCTAGATCACATGAGACTGACTCAGTCTAGGAGAGAAACAGAGCAAGGCAGTGGTGCACACACCTTTAATCCCAGTACTGGGAGGCACACACATCATTTATCCCAGCACTAGAAGGAAGGGATGGCTGGGAAGAAAGAGATCTATAAAGTGGGAGGAAACAGATTGACTTTTTCAGGTTGACTAGTACTAGAGGTAAGTAAGACATGGCAGTGGCCTGTTCCTTTGTGTCTCTGATATTTCAGCATTTACCCCAATATCTGGTACTGGGTTTTTTTTATTATAAGACCTTTAGAAATTCGAATAATACCCACCCCTAGGAAATGACCACACTCCCAACAAGGCTGCTCATGACAGGTAGAGACACACAGGAGACTGGAGAACAGGAAGGAATCTAGGACATGTGCCCAGGTGGTCCAAACACAGGCCGTGAGGAAGGATCCCTGTAAGGCTGCTTGTGTCCTTAGATGGCAAAACAGAACCTTCCACACATGAAAGGAAGGGAGAGAAACGGGGGAGGTTTGAGGTCTGCAAAACAAGCATCCTCAGAGTCAGTCACACTGACAGGTCCTGAGCCATCACAAGACATGGTATAAGCTAGAGAGAGTTCCAATACTGCCGGGAGAGGGTGCCATCGCCCCACGAGTAACAAAACATCCAGGTGCCACATTTGGGATGTAGAGCACAGCCACAGACTAATTCCTGGTCAAGCAGAGGAGATCAAGGGCAGCATTGTGTCTCTGAGCAATGAGCAACAGGCCCCAGAGGCTCAGAAGTCAGAAGCACTGACCTCACAGAGAGAGGAGAGACCAAAGTCACCTCAGGAAGAAGAGGCCAACGCGAACACACAATAAGGAGTGCAAAGCAAGTCCAGGAAGGGGAGGAAGGAAATCAGAAGTCATGCAAAGAAAGCTCTGGAACTACATAAACAGAAAGACCAAGGCTTGCAGCACAGGCAGGGCCCAGGGCACCACAGCAGTGACAACAGTTCCCTTAAGTCATTTACCAAGGCAAGAGACAGCATGGCACCTACGTCTTTGATCAAGGTACAAATCAGGGCAATGTGATCAGCCACCACTGGATGACAGCAGCGAGAAGCACGGCTGAGTCGCTGGAGCTCACTTCACACACACACACACACACACACACACACACGCACACGCACACGCACACGCACACGCACATGCACAC